AAATATGTCTGCCCTTTATTAAAGCAGATTGCTCCAAGCTAACCACAAAACCGATGACAATCATCAATATATTAGCTAAAAGTCTACCAATTATCTTATATTGGCAACCAATTAGACTAATTGGTTTGAAATCACGAAAAAAAATCGGGTCCCTAACATTAGGGATAACAGTAAAGAAAGAAGCATTAAATCCCTTTGGAATAGTCGAATGATTATAAATATGCAAAAAAAAGCCACCACATCATTCTCTGAAAGTTCCCAATATCTCTTAATAAACCCAAAAGAAAAACCATCCGGACTCGGAGTTTTAAAAGAGCCACGGTCCCAAAAATCCCTTTTGATATCCTCTCGAGTAAAGGGAGCCTGAATATACTGGAACTGATTCTCTGTAAGAGAAGAGAAGTGAAACCCATAAGTCAAGGGTCTAGTCCTTGACTGTCTTGAAAAAATATACTGACAAAAAGACCGAAATTCATCTTTCACTCGAGCCGGATCATCCACCCAAACACCATCACTAAACACACCACGAAGAGCAAGTTGACGCCTCTTACAATTAACCATAACATGAAACAATCCTGAATTATCACCCCCCTCAATACCCCACTAAACCTTTGCCTTTTATGCAAGGTCAATATGAGAGAGATGATCTAGCTTATTTAGCTCCTTCAGAGTCGTAACCTAAAGTTCCCTTAGGGAGGTCGTACCATCATCTGCCATAAGTCAAGCATCAATGGATTCAAGTAAATCCTATAACTCCTTTCTTTTAGATCCAATACGAAGTCATGAGTTACAGTTCCCGACCCTAATATTAGATTTACTAAATTGCAACTTTTTCTTAAAAATAACCCACAGGTTATTAGAACCCACATCCTTTGCCCATGATTCTCTAACGATGCCCTCAAAACCATACATATCAAACCAAGAGTGAAAGAATCGAAATGGGAGAGGCCCATAATCTGCTTTGTGCTCCAAAAGAATAATGGGATGAGGAAAATGACCTAAAGATCCATCTGTAACTAAGAATTTATCCAACTTATTGAGCTTCAACCCCCACTTATCACTCCAAGTGAACCTAGGACCGCCCAAAGGAATATCAACCAAATCTACATGCTTAATAAATTGATTGAACACGGAAGTTTTTGCTAAGTTAAAGTGCGACCCCAATCTCAGTCACAATTAGGATAATGCTTTCTTATTTACTTGGACTTTTTGTTAATCGGAGGATACTTGCAGCCATGGCCATTTTTCCAGGGACTACAAGGAGAAGAAAGAAGCCTGGAACCCTGAGAACTATGAAGTCTTGTATAAGAAGTCGGTGGCTAATATGAAGAATGAAAATATTTCTCTGCCAAAATCTTTGATTTCAAGACAAGAGGATCATAAAAAATGGGTAAAAGAATAGGAGAGTTCTAAAGATGAGGGGTTGAATGTCAAGGGTATTATGGTTGTTATAAAGGATTCCCCTAATGACATATGAGATGCTGATAGTTCTCACTCTAACACCTAATCAAGTCTGAATCTAGAACATAATTGTTACTTAGACAACGGATACTCTAGACACATAACCGGTCACAAGTCCCCGTTAACAGATTTTGTGAAGAGAGATGGTCCACAAGTGGTTTTTGGTGACAACAATAAAGAATCCATCACAGGAGTTGGAACCTTTGAGTGCAGGGCATTCAAGTTGAAGGAGGTGTTTTTTTTTCAAAGGTCTAAAAAACAATCTCATCTCCATCAGTCAACTTTTTTATGTTGGCTATAAAGTTCTTTTTGGTCGTCATGAGGGAAAGGTATTCGATTTTGAAAACAAAATTGTGTTGATTGCACTCAGAGACAACAACGTTTATATGGTTTGATTTTGTTGGTTTAAGACATTGCTACTTTAGTTTTACTTTATGCTTCACTTCTTTTAAACTGATGACCATAAGTTATTTTTTTATTATCAACTATAAATTTTTGCTTTAAAATTTTCTTTTTAACTTTTATATTACTAAAGAAGTATAAATTGTATATTTTTCTCCTAATATTGCCTATATGATCTTCTCTATTGATAGTGACCTTATCTGAATGGTCTATTTTGAAGGGATTAGCATGTCATTCCTTGAATGCATCACTCTCCTTGTGGAGCCAGTCGATGTTGACTCTGCATATTTTCTTCAGCGCTAACCACTCTCTCCCTGGTGTTGATGCCCATGCTGATTGATCAGTTGCATCCTATTAATGAGACCATATATGGGATAACTATGCCACTAAGTATTTTTCTAGGCACATATCTCCTCCGTCTTTAATAACCTATCTCTGTTGAAATGGGATGAGGTGAAGTTAGGTAACTTAGCACATCGATTTTCATAGATGCTCTTACAGCAACACCAACTCCCCTATGAAATCTATAAGTGTCTTCAATAGGAAAGTGATCCTACCTTCTCTTCTTCATGGATCATAATGAATGAAACCTTCGAGTATTGTCCTGGTGACTCTCATACAGTCAGGTAAGGTTACAAAGATTGGATCCTTCTAACTCGCTGGTTACAAAGACTGGTTTATGTTCTTCCTTTGTTCTTGGTGAACATGAAGCTTGGAATCAATCTACAGAATCTCAATGATTAAAGGCATTATGTCTCTCTATGTTTACTATGAATGGTGTTGTTTTTGTGTGATATGGTTGATCTTGTTAGCTCACTTTTTATAGCTAAATATTCAAGGGTTAGATATCTTGAAAAATAGAAAATCATTTATGACCATTCAATTCCAAAGATTTGATGGAACGAGTCTTAATCTACTTTCTGAAAAAGTTGCACATATTTCCCTATTTAAACTATTTTCTTCTTTGACTAATTCTTTTGTTTTTATTCTTATATTGTTTATTATGTACCATTTTAAAAAAAAAGAATCTAACGGTGGAAACTTTAAGCCTAGTATGCAACTTTTGACACATCACTTTCCCTAGAAGCATGTTGTTGTATGTGACAAAATCTCTCTTAAGTTTCTCATCAGCGAGACCATTTGCTGAGAACATTGAGTCACCCCCTCACGCTGAATGTCTAGCATTGTCAAAAATTTCTAAGTGAGATTGTCTGGTCCAATTAAAAAATTAACAGAAAGGTTCAGGTGTTTATTTTTAATTAATCATCTTTACCTGAACTTTTCCCTAGAAGCATGCTTGCCATATGCATCAAGTCTCATGTTCTACTTAAACATTGAGCAAAACCTAATGGCTTACCATGATTGCATAGTCGTCAGCGTAAGAGTTACTTGTCTGGTCCTTAAATGACAAAGGGTTGTTCATTTCCCTGACCTCGTAGTCCGAGGTATGATATAGTACCACGATGATTTTAACGGTGGATCTTTGATTCTAGATTACAGCTTACTCTATGATACAAAAGTTTAACCACTTCTTGTTGATGATTTAAACTATTAATGATTTACACTGATTTTACCTCAGCGTAACTAAAACAATTCGTTCTCTCCACAAGTCTTCTAAAACAGAACTTGGTGATTCATTGTGTAAAACCACACACTGATGAAAACTTCGAAAGTCTATGTCGATGGTTAGTCTATGTACCGTAGGCTATCACACGCACGAATTCATTCATGCCCTTATATTATTCTTTAAAGTTTTATGATTTAGCCTAATGTACCATATGCTGATGAGAGCTTGATAAATATGTGCCGATGGGTATATCATTGTCAGTGGTATATTACATGCACCTATCCACTCTTGCCATTTTTCTTCTAATAAAAGAGATTTACGATTCAGCGTATGAAACCACACACTGATGATTTCTCATAATACAATGTTAGTGAATGGTAGTTTTAGCCTACATTATCACGAGACATCACAAATTAACTATATGATCATCATAAATTCATTCGCTTATCGCTTAAGCTGATACACATTGCCGCAGATGATTTATCTCGTTGATATAACTTCCATGTCTTAATAGTAACTTTTTGGAAATCGAAGATTTTGTCGACTATGTCAAAATCAGTCCTCTTTGATATCTATTCTGCATCTTCCAGGACCCTTTCTACCCTAAACAAGTATGTGAGTTTTACTATACATGCGTTGTTGATATTGTTGCTTGAACCATCACCGGAACCATTAGATATGGTCAATATTGGGTTACCATTGATGTGGAATCCTTTCGAACTTCTGTTCTTCTTCCACGATTTGAAAGTTACTCTAAAACTCCCTCTGAAGAAAGTCGCAAATCTGTTTGTGAAAAATTAGGGCATAATTTCAATCTTCAGGGTCTCACTCGTGATCCATACAAGAACAATCTTCTTCAATGTTTTAATGTAGGGTGGAAGTACTTAACATGTGTGACTTGAAAATTTCTTGGTCACAAGACTGGAAGTTTGGATCAATTGCATCTCTTTGGGCAAAGGATTTTATATTCTATTGTTTAAACCAAGAAACTAAATTTTGCTCAACTTTTTCATGATCAAATGGTTGACTACATTACTGGGAACAAAAAGTCATTGAATGTTCCTTATCCTCGTTGGCTTGGTCTGATCTTGTCTTAAAAAGAAGGTTATGTTAAAAGTCATGGGATTGTCATTCCAATTCCTGCCCTTTCCTCAAAAATTATTAATGTCACTCTATCTCAGGGTGACTTGCCTATTACTGCAAGGATGCAAAAGTGGATTGAAAAACCCTATGTGGTTGAATCCTCAAACTCTGAAGATGATGGTGATGATAATGATTAGTTGGCAATGAAGAAGAGAATGATGATGATGATGATGATGATGATAATGATGATGATGATGATGATGATGATGAGAATGATAGTGATCTAGAAGTTAATAATAAAGAAGGGGTTGACGAGGAAGAAGACACTGATAAAGATGAAGAAGAACCAGAAACTGATATGGGAGAAGATTTCACTTAGAAAATGAACTCTCTTCCAAGGGTGAACAAGCACATTCATTTTTCAATTACCTCTTAATCCTCTTCCTTTATTGATGATGTTGCACAACATGGGTTAACTCCTCCTATTATGGAAACTACTGAGCCAATGATTCAAGATGTCAATTCTCTAAAACCAATGTCTCCTCCTCCTCAAGCTGAGACTGCTCCTATCATGACTGATACCTTTCATCAAGATAATCAGGGAGAATCCAGCTCCAACTTTGAAACTGTTGTGCTTTCTCAACTTTCCTTAATTGTGCAGTTAACTCAGTCAATGAATAAAAGGTTGACTAAAGTTGAAAGGGATGTGGATACAATAAAGAGACTTATGGCCTTAGATGATGATGACGATATGGTTGTTGATGATATTCCACCAAATTCTCCAAGTAATAACCCTCCTACACCTCCATCTCAATCAACAAATCTTCCTCCACCATCTAATCCTCCTCCTATAACTCCTCCACCACCTTCTAACTCTCCTCCCTAATCTGATGCTTCCAAAAGGGGGAGAATAATCAAAGGGATCTTCAGCTAATACAAATACAGGTGATGATTGTACAAACTCCATCTCAGCCTGAGATGACTGAAAGGGTTGAAGCTGAAGCTGATCCTCAAAAGCATATTAATGTTTCATATGTTGATGCAACAAATGATTAGCCCATTCCATATGCTGGTGACTAACCGGAGACCGATGAATTTGAGGGGTTTCTTGATCTTGGTTTCATGCCACAATCTGTTGTATATACTATTCCTTTAAATGTTGTCTACCCATGATCTTACTTTGAGGAGGAGAATTCTCAAGAGGTTCCTCGAGGAACTGATAGTGATATTGACTCTGACAATGATCAACTTAATCATCGAAAGATAAAGGCTTCCTTCTTAGGGGGAGCTCATGATGCTGAAGTTGGAAGCTCTTTTGTTGCTACTGCCAGTGATCCTTCAATATCTCCTCCTAAAAAGAAAAAGCAACCTTAGCTTTGATCTAAATGAGCTGACAGAAACATGGAAGTTATGGTGGATTTGTCTCTAAGTCCATAACTATTTTAGTATGTACTTGACCCGATTATGAGCATGGTCCTTTTGGGTTGCCTTCACCATAGCAATGTGTAGGATGAATTAAGGAGAGAAAGGATTAATTATTATTTATTAATATATTATGAGAATAATATATTAAAGGAGAAATCATATTGTTTAATTAATATTAGTCAAGAATTAATTTTGTGGCTAAAAGAGATTAATTAAACATTAGGGGACTGATATTGTAATTATAAGATAGTTACAAAATTGGGCTTAGGATCCATTAGATGGGAATGGACGAATTCTATATGGAAGTCCATAAAGAAATCGTCCAAGGGCCTTTTGGAATGGTCCATTGGACTGCCTAAGGCCTAAGCAGTCAGATTAGGGTTTCCTAGTTGAAAACCCTAATAGCCCCAAAAACGTGGTGAACACTTGGATTAGGGTTTCTAGCCATTTTTTGTGCCTCCCCTCTCCTCCCTCTTCATTCTTGTTGCTTAGTGGTGTTTGTGACTCCATTAGAGGTGCAACACTTGAGGCACTAAGCTTTCTTAAGCTAAGGATTGATTGTTATTGCTATATAACAATCTAAGGTCAGATCTCAACCCTATTTTATGTTAATATGATTAATTGTATGCTAGGTCTAAGGTTTATAGCTTTGGATATTCAATTGCATGTTCATTAGACAAACTAGATCCAAAAGCTATTAGGGTTTGCATGTACACCATAGGAATCATGTATTGCTCGAAACCCATCAGTTGTATCAGAGTCAAGGCTTTTTGTTTGATGTATTTGATGATATAATGGATTGTTCTTGCTTAAAAATCGAAAATTAGGGTTTCAGGGGGCTGGACTTGCCAAGCCCATGGTGAACTCGACGAGTCCATGCTTCACTCGACGAGTCAGCTAGTCAGAAAGAGGTAATTTTGGGATTTTGTGCATCTTTGGCTATGGGATAGTTACCAAAACGGTTTTTATTGATATAAATCAGATTTTTATGATATTGGGTGATTATCCTTGCCATAATAAAAGATAACTTCATATTAATTAAATCATTATTTCCTTATATGATAAAATTTAATTATTTGAATTATTTAGTGAATTATCTTCCAAGATATTGGACTAGATCAAAATTAGATAATTGACTTATTTGAATTTTGTGATCTAGAATATTCTTGATAAAGTTTGGAAAAGTTTCAAATTAACCCTTTAGGTTTCATAGTTTAAATTTGAGCTTAATAGTTTTAGTTTTGAAATTTAAATAGTTGAACCATAATGTTTTGAAAAGTTTCAAAACTTGCCCTCAAGTTTTGGATTTTAAAATTAATTAAAAGTCTTAATTTGAAATTTTAAATTCTAAAACCCAAGTATTTTGAAAAGTTCAAATTACACCCTTATGGTTTTATTAATTAATTAAAATGTACAATTAAAAGAGATTTAATAAACCCATAAAGTTTTGGTTTACATTTAAATAAATTAAAAGTATAATTTGCTAAATTAGACCACCTAGTATTTTAAAAGTATAAAATACACCCGATACTATATATAACATTAAAAGTATAATATTATATATATGTATGAGTAAACAGTCAGTCTTACCATTAGTAGGCCTCATTCACGAAGCTGGTCTATAAAGGGTGTTTAAGGAAATTGCCTATAAGATGTTGATTGAATGGGTATCCACTCTTACCCACCGCACTCTTGACTAGTGGAGGGTCGTTAGCCGAACGGGTAGGATAGGACAGAAACCTTCCATTATAAGTATAATGAAGTACAAAGTAACTAAATGCTTTTACAAATTCCCAAATCATAGTTACTTTAGGAAAAATGTAAAATTGTATGCTAATCCATGGAATTCCACTTCGTACCCTTGTCAAACGTTAGTGGAGCGTGTGTGGTTAACCGTCACACTAATTTGGGGATGACATTGGTTGCGAAGGGTGGCTCGATGCTTATTATAAATCAATGGAGCGTGTATGGCTAACCGACACATTGATTAGGTGATAGCAGCATTGGGTGCACTACTTGATTCGTATGCTTATTCACACCTTATTTGTAATCCTCGGCATCCCAGTCTCATATAGAAGGGCATAATTGAGATTTAAACATACCATTGAAAAGTTCAATGAATCTCAAAAAGATCTAGGAGTTTCAATTCATTTAAAACTTAAACTTCCTTTTCGTTTTTCATGGTGGAAATTGGTAAATCGTCATTTACCTACCTTCAAATATTCTGTGACTAGATTATGGCATCCCTCTTCTAGGTTGTAGAGTATTGTGTTGGATCCTAGCCTTAATGTTTCATTTGGGTGTTACATCAAGAATTCTAATCAACTTAACTTGAATTTTCTCCCATTTTGTAGATGTCAAGTTCTGACAATCATGGTCTTCCCAAATCCCATGGAATAAGCTTTCCAAATGAAGATGATGTTCCACGATATGATCGAGGAACAAGAGATCATGCTTCACTTCCTCCACCACCTCCAATTGTTCTCCCTAACCCACAAGTTCGAAGGCTTGAAAAGTTCAAGCTCACTCAAGCCCTATTGGCAATTAAGCATGAAGATGGAAAGTTTGTGTGTGCACACGTCTTAGAGATGAAGTCACATATTGATAGGTTAAGGATGTTGGGTGTCGATATCACATAGATATTGGTTGTTGACTGGGTTCTTCAGTCACTTCCTGAATCATATAGTGATTTCGGTAGAGAGTACTGTATGATGGATCACGACGTGACGCTTATTGATCTCACCTATTTGCTTATATCTGCTGAATCAGCAATCATTTGGCGTGCTAGTCAAGCAAATTTGTCTGGTGAATCAAACTCCCAAACTTCAATGGATATGGAAAATGATGACATTGGAGATCCAGAAAAGGTAAACTCTGAGATAGTTCCTTGTGTCGCTCCAAAAGAGTCCATTTGCTTTTATTGCCAAGAGAAGGGGCATTGGAGACGAAGTTGCCCTATTTACCTGAGAGATCTAAGAGATGGGAGAGTCAAGACGTATGACTCTAGTTCAGGTAAAATCTATCATCTAACTCTTTTAAGTTCCTATTCTAGATTCTTAATTCATGATGTGATAAGATTACATTTTGATGTTTTGTAGGATTGAAGAAAAGAGAGGAAGCTTAAGGGAAGAAGTGAGTTGAATCTAATCATGAAGAAATGGATTTCGATCACATTGCTTGAAGATTGGATTCTTGAGCTACTACTTGGAATTAGAATAGATTGCTGAGAAATATGTAATAACATAGTTTTTCAATTGAATTGCATTGTAAGGACAAATTTTTTCCGCAATAAAATGAATTTTGTTTTTATCTTATTTATTTATCCTTGCAATGGCATGTATGAAAAATTAATGTTTGAAAGTTTCTATTATTAGCAATAATGGATTTGATTCTTAATTATGTTATTTTTGTGGAAATGTCGAAAATTTATGAAATAGGGAGAGTTTCTCATTGCCCAAGTTTCAATTGGACAGAAACTTGGAATCATGCAACATGCATTGCGTGATGAATGAGAAACTTCATATTTGGAAATTAGACTAAATCTTTGGCAAAGTGTCAAGTGAGGGACTAAGAGATCGAGTACACTAGGTTGTACGTTGATCAAGTCCACCACAAGAGTGATAAAGATATTCGTCATGATTTACTAAAGTTTAGTAAATATGATCATACTTATAAGATTAAGAGTAATTCTGAGTTGGTTGAAAGAGTTTCAATGAATAGCAGAACAAATAAAGAAGAATCAAGTGGGCAGAAAGATAAAAGTTTCTCCATTTTAAGAAGAACGGAGAGTACCTTTTATTGTGTTTTATGATAAGTCTTAATGATTAAGAACCATATCTCAATTGATCCTCTTAGCGAGTCTTAGTGCATTTGTATGTCTAAGAAGAGGAATCGAGAATTGTGGAAATGGTTAAATCAAGAAGTCAATCATATTTCATTCCAATATCATGTCTTAGAGTTATACTCCAAGATTGCGAATTGAGTGCCACGTCTTTAGTAGGTTTATAACACCCAACAAATGTGGAATTTGGAAAAGTTTTCTTATTCTTGCACATTTGAAATTGGTAAGTTGTGCTATCTTGGATAAGACAACGACCAACTAGGACCAATTATGTGAAGTGTTTTGTCTTGATAAGAACTACACTAACTCTTGAATATTTGTTTTGTCTAGAAAAGTTTCATGACAAGAGAATCATATATGTCAAGAGGTTAGTGGGAGTTTTAATGATCTGGAAAAAGGTTTCAAGAACAAATCAAGAATAAACCTTATCGATCATCACTAGCACACGACTTGAGGTTCACAACCCATCGTGTTGACATTATGTTGTTTCTGTGCCATTCCAATTGATTTAATTGTATGTGAATTCTATGAGTTCTCATTTGAATGCATAAAGACAAAGCACCTTGATCGATGGAAAGTACATTGATATGTAAGGATAAATTGCTAAACTACTTGGAAGACATGGTGGGCACTCGTGTTACCATAAAGCAAGAAATCAAGATTAAGAAAGTTCAGTCCATAAGAGATTGGATTTGTCGTAAACTTTGGTTTTGGAAAATTCACAAGGATAGAAACTCATACACCATAAAATCTAAGTGTCATAAGATTTCCTCCTTCATGAAAATGATTGTGAGGAAATGCTTTCACTAAGAGAGATTTTAAGAAGATTGCAGTTATGAAAATTGAATTCTCAAATTCGATTATGGTTACGACATCCCTTTCCATAGTTCAAATTGTGAGAGTTGGCAATTAGTCTAACATTTGGGACTTATTGATATAAGTTCTGAATTCTTTAGACACATATGAGCTATCTAAGGCAAAGGTGTATAAGTTTAAGAAGCTTAGATAAAGGCTTATCGAAGCATCTGGTATTAGAAATATTAACTTCATAAATTCAATAGGCATTGTTTTCTGGAAGTTCAACGTTTTTCTGAATATATGTCAAAGC